TTCCCTAATCATTGCATGACATTTGACACATTCAAAGGGGGAGGAGTTATCAAAAGCCATTAAACGTATGTGGATAGAGCCTTGGACTCAAGTGGTCTTGAAGTCACACGCTGCTAGACCACAGCAGGAAGTGCATCGTTCTGCCCCAACGTCCTTTTTGAAGCATCTGCTAATAACTATAATCAGAGACAGGCCCTGTGACTTGACTCAGTACTAGCATTTTACTGTATTACACAAGCCATTTACAAAAGCAGTGCTTTTAAGGATAAAGATGAAATCTTTATTTTATTGAAGCCAGCAAAGTAAGAATTTTAATTAAAATCCAGTCTAAAACATCTAAGTGTATTCCACAGCCATGCCATTTATGAAGAAAAAAAAACCTTTTAAAAAGAATATGCTATTTTTTAATGCTGAAAAATTAGTTAAATGCACCCTGCAATATGAAGAGACAGAAAAAGGTTTCATTACAGTACCTGAGTAGGCCGAGTGGTTTGTATCATATCTTGCCATTTGCCATATATCCTAGCAACCAAGTCTTTTACCTGCAAATTCAGATTGGTTAGTTTAGCCATTTACGTTAAAAAAGCCAGAATCATACCTCCTGTCTCCCAGACCCATAAAACCCCGGATAACCCAACACCCAAGGTTTACCGGGAGGAAACAATTTTACAGCTAGCACAAAGTATCACCACCTCAACTCCAACCAGATCCCTGTAATTTGGGACTCTCAACTCAAAGTCAAGTACTCCACACAAACACACTACGGGCACATGACTCCCCATGTTAAGTGTTTGGAATTAGCATGCAAGCCTCTGGCCTCCAAACACCCATCTCATCCTTTGGGTGAGTTAGGTTTGTTACACAAGTTTGGTTGTACCTGGAAAAAGTGCCTGCAACTGCAAGCACAAAAGCCAACTATGCAGCACTGTCTGCTTCCGAAATGAATTCCTTATACATAAAACTCCTTTTTCATAACCAATCACAAGCAGGTGTTTAATCCAAGCCATTCAGAACTGAGATTTGCTTCATATGCTGTATTAAAACCCAGCACAGTGGCATCCTCTGGAAGTTACTGTACTATTACAGAAATGAATTGACGGGGAAAAACAGAGTAAGATTTTCCCCTCTCAGTGCAAGGCAACAGAAACAAAAGTGAAAGCAGCCCAAGATACAAAAATCCAAGGCAAGAGTAATTAACTTGTTAAAGGATCCATGCTCTACTAATCTGGCTGAATAAAAAAGAAAAATCTTCTTGAGAGGTAAGGATGCACACAACTGCAAATATTTGATTTAAAGCTGAAGAATCCAAGGTTTTTCAAAGCTGAGGTTGGTCACTTTATCACTGATCTGATTTAGCTTGCTATGACAGCATGCAAAGCATGAAAGTCACAAAATTAGGACTATCATTACTAAGCCTTACACCACAAAGCAAATGAAAGGCAATTATCCAAAGCTTGATGCTACATCACATACACTGTTGGCTTAAATCCACAACATTTTTAACTAACTCATTAATTTGAAAATAGAACAGAGACACATGCAAGATAGGGTAGTTTTTCAGTCCTCTGTATCCTTCCCGACATGTTGCCTCTGCTCTTAAAAGTGAAGTCAGCTATCAGGGACTGCCCGGAAACAAACGGAGCAACTCTGTGTGTCTAAAAGTTGAGATGCCTGGCTAAAAGTAAGACAAGCTCACATTTTACCGTTGTTAAGAGTCATGTTGTTAGCAAAAAGAGTATTTTCAGTGCATTAAAATGGGCATATATTAATGTACATGCAAAGACATGATACAGACAGAGAAATCAGATAAAAACAAACCCATGAGGAACTCTTAGAATTTCCAGGGCTGGGGTGAGGGGACAACATAAATCAAGAACACTAAAAACCACCCTAAAACAAACAAACAAAACACAGCTTAGGTGTCTTACCTTAGTTCGATAAAACAGCCTTGCATCTTCTCTAATATCACATTTTATGTGCTTATCTAAGGCACCACAAAGCTTCAGTAAGTGTTGCTAAATAAAGACAAAAGTGTACAGCTACTTAAATCCTCCCCATCAAAACTAAAAGCTTTCTTCAAATACTATTTCAATTTAAAAATTATATGCTTCAGTTTGAATTTTTCTCAGATACGTACAGTAAGGAAGGGGGAAAAGAAAGAAAAGAAGATCACAAGATCCTCTATCAGTTGCTGGTATGCACCCGGTAAACCAGGTCTAAGAGCTTTAAAAAAAAGTTTCAAAGTATAGCAGAGCTATAGATCACAAATTTTAAAGTTCCTACTAGCTAATTTGTAAATCCTTTCTGTCCCCAAAGTAGCAAGCGCAGTGCCATTCAGATCTTTTATAAGCAAAAAAAAGTTCTGAAGTTACAACAGATAAAAATAACCTTTTCAGTAATGATGACTCAGGTAATTTTCTTTTGTAGGAATTGGCTGAGCAGGTAAAACATATCCAAGGTTTATGCACTGATTTTTTATTTCTCTAAATTTCTGATTAATTTAATAAAGCAGTTTTGCAACTTCATAATCTCTTGATAATGGCTCCCAAGATCTTTCGCATTCTGTGAATCTCTTCATAAAATTCCCGTTTTCAGTCCCTCACTGAACAGCTGCAGAGAGGCTCCGCTCTGCAGAACAGGTGAGACATGCTAAAATTCTTTACTGGTGTCTCAGGACCATGACAATTTATCCCATCTAACTGGAAGGAGACCAGAAATTAAATACTTATGTTGATTTTATACAAAGGCCGCCTGCACAATATTCAGCCACACCCCTCTTGCCACTTGATGGCTAACAGGTCAGTGAATAATAGACTCTTTCTTCATTAAGAAATAGAGAGACATTTAAAAAAAAAAAAAAATTCAAGTTCTCCACAAATCTTCAGGAAGGCAGTTGTGAAAAAACACATCTCAAAAGATGATCACAATATAAATATTTTCTTTACCAAAGATGATTTTGTTTCAGATTACATTCTGTGATTATCGTTTTGCATTGAGTAGGAAACTGAGACACTTAAGCCCCGAAATGTAACCAAACATTACTGCTTTACCTCTCTCAGTTCATATGACAGATTTCTTAAAAGCCAAGAGTGATTCCACAGGGCAGAAGGTGCATACAAACACCTTGCAGCAAGCAACTCACAGCAAATGATCACAGAAATCTGAATAGGATTACTGAAAGGCTAAGCAGAAGGTATTACTTAACAGATGTTCACATCACATGGCACAAAGGAACTATCACTACAGAGAACAGAAGAGATACAGTCCTAGCTTTCACTTGCTGCATGGCTGCACTCCAGCACAGAAAACCGTGATGTGTTTGAACATATTTTACTGGGTATTTGCAAAGCAATTTTCTTCTAGACTGAAAAATTTCAACCCTACTTCAAAAGTTGGATTGGATCATTGGATGACTTAGAATTTCTGTGTTGAGTTCATCTCCAGTTACTTTCTGAGAAAGATTAACAAAATAACTGTCTGCTGATCCACAGCCGTATGTTTTGAGGTAGTTCCGTTTACGTAAACGCGGACGAGGTTTCTTCCTCTGCAGTAAATGCAGAGAAAGGTCTTCTGCATGTACTTCGCCCCAGAACAAAAGTTTCCCTCAGTGCTATTATCCACTGGTGACCTTCTAGCACATGATAGCTCTTACCAAAATAGACCAAGTGTGCATGATAAATAGTCTTTTAAAATCTAAAAATCTAGCCACTGAAGTTACTTACCCTTTGATTAGAATTTACAACATCAAAGAAACTAGCTTCACTGACTAGATGAAGGAGGATGTAGATTAGGTAGTATGCCTGGAGAGAAATCAAAAAAGCTTTAGTAGTCAAAGTACAATCATAACTCTTCACATCTAGATACAGCACTCTCTTTGCTTTCTGGAATGATTCCAACAGCCAGATCAATGGACAAGTATATCTATGCATTTGCCTAAATAACTAATTTGAAACAGTATATTCATACATTAGAAACATTTTAAAACAGCATTACACTGTTTTAAGTTACCCAAGTAACCTACAAAACTTTCCGTAGTTTTAATTACTGAAAATGAAATTCAGCACTTGGCTTTGTTTTCCCCATCATCTACATCCAGATCAAAATACTTGCTAAGAGATTCCATAATAGGCTCAAATAACCAAACCAATATTCAATTGTTGGATGGATATAAATACTAACTCTTTCTAATATTGTTTATGAGAAAAGATTCCTAAGAGCCATAAGTCTCTTTCTGAAGCCTGCAGGTGAAGGTCTCAGTCAGCATCAAACAGTTTCCACTGATTACATCAGAGGGGAAGGACGATGGTCATCTGATTACAGAAGACAGGACTCAAGACATCCATGTGACTTAGCCATTCAGAAAATCTATCGATTGCCCTGTTTATAAAACAGCCTAATACAGCTTCCTCCATCACATGCTACTTCCTTCCTCCATGACTATAATCAATATTGAACACGAGTAATATTTTAATTATACAAACAGCAACAAAATAGTGTATGTACAGTTCTGTGTCCAGAACTGTCCTGTTAACAGAAACTAAAAGAAACATTCTCAAAATTATAGAAGATGCATAAAAAGACAAATGCAAAAAAGCACTATCAGCTATATACCTCCTGTTCTAGTTCTGTATGAAGGTGGTCTCCATCGGCGCTCTGCTGCTCCAATCCTTCTCTCATCTTCTTTAGTAGATTAGATGGTTTCATGTACACCAGAAATTGATGCAGAAGAGACATCTACAGATACAAACATTAACAAATTGGACTGGTTTACTGGCAACAGAAAATTGGAAACTGAGTGCCACTACAATATTATTTGTCCACTAAAAAAAACCATAAAAGGGGTTTTTATTTAAAATGGAAGTTTTCATGCTTTGTGTCATTTTTGACTATTCACAAACTAAAGTGCTTGTACATTGCCTCAATAAAAGATCAGCCCAACGAAAACAAAGAGTGACTCTACATGAACACAAAAGGAAGACCGAAAGAAGTGTAGACCTCTTTCCAATGTCCAAAATGAATGTTTAGGCACATAAACAATACTGCACTTACAAGCTGCAGAACATGCAGGTTACACATGTGCAAATATACTTCTAACGCTAATCTAAACTAAAAATTACTAATTGGGTCATTTTGCAAGGTTCTTGAAAATAGGCTTACAGTATTAAAACATAAAACACAAACAGTAATATACATACTTTCTAAACTTTCAAATTATACACGCACACAACACATATATGCAGTACCTGCTTGTCACTGTCATCAGGTATTTCCACATGCTTTTTATTAAGAAGCTTTGAAATTATCACTAGGCTAAGACGTCTTCTTACTTCCCTGAAAAACAATTAAAAAAATTGTTTCCCAGAGAATTCTTAAATCCACACGGTTTCTACAAGGTATATGAGGCTATGCATGGCTTCTCTAGACATAAACTTGCCTACAACTATTAAATTGGATTTTCTGAATATAGATGCTATTAAACTAGTAAAGAGGCTAGTAAAATATAAGTACCCTTATCTCATTGCAGCTTTTCTTCTGCACAAGTAAACACTGCTAAATGCTTGCCTCCAAGCCTGAAATTGAGGACCCAATTCATTCTCCTTGCTCAGACACATTATAATTTACTCATTTCAAAGATACAGAGCTCATAACAGATTGACACTTAAAAGCAGACATGAATCACCCAAAGAAAATTTAATTTGGGTCATTCAGTCAAGAATTAGAGTAGGTGATGGATGTCAGAATCTGAAGTTGTTAAGTCTTTCTTTACTATAGGGTACCAGCAAGTCCGCAGCCCAGAAAACTACACATAAAATGTAAAATAACCCTTTTTCACAGCAGAGGTGATCAAGAAGCTATATATATACACAATAAGGATTGCATATACATCTGTAACATATGAGAAGACCCAAGTACTTTTTTTTTTAAACCACCATGTAATACCTATTGCATTTATCAGACTTTGAGCTTATACAAATAAATCAGCTGTTAATGATACAAATAAACCAGCTGTTAATGATACTACATATTTCTGATGTTAGTGTCGTTACCGTCCACGTATTATCCAGCTAGGCACCAGCTGAACCAGCCACAGGAGATTATGGTGATGACTGGAGAGTTCACTCACTGCCAGGCAGAGCTCAGGCATCTTTAAAAGAACAACAACAACAAAAAAAATCCTGATACTGAAGAATGGATATGGTGGGCATTTGTTTTATTTGCAAAGGAGTACACATCTACTCCCTAGAAACATAAGACAGTGTTAAAAGGAATTGATCTAATAAGAGATGATGTGCGTAAAGATATTTCTGCACTGCACCTATAGTTAAGTCTGCTAAATATTTTACAGTAGCGTAGTTGAGATCAGATTGCTTTTAATGACATTTTATAAGCTTAGTCCAATCATTTCTTCATTCTTTCAGAGAGCCATTTTAAACATATAGCTATTTTAGTAAATATAAGATTAAGTTCAATATAACAGTCCCCTTGCAGAAGAGGACAGGCAAGCATGTCATGCGACAAAAACCCTCTCAGTATACCCACCCACCTCCTAAATCTCACATAAATCCAAAGCTCCCAATTTGTTCATATTACATTTTCAGGCAGTATTTTTCTGATATGCCAAGAAAAAAAATGAAAACTTCAAACGAGAAGTTTCTTGAAAATTAAGTTGCAGTTTCATGCATCCAGTACACAAAAATTATTTATGAAGTTACCTTTGTATCCCAGTCTTTTATACTTATCAGAAGCTTTATGAAAAGGCACTGAAAATCTACCAAAGGAATTTGCTTTAACTGTTTCTCCAAGCTTATTTTAAATAGCAATAGAAGCAGCAGCAATATTTCTTGATCAGTATATCCACCTTGAATTACCGTTGTACAGAAATCTAGAAACTTTAAAAGAAATAAAAAGCATTAAAATCTGAAATTGGTTCAGCTTATTTTAAACGTATAATGAGAACTTAAGTTTTCCACCCTCACATTAAAATGCACCTCAAATGATATACTGTTCTTGCAACACTTGAGTATTAACATCTCCCCATCTCCCAGTAACTGCACTTTTTTTTTTTTAAATGCTACTGGAGGTAGCATTTTTTAAATGCTATCTTCTGAACAACGGCAATATTCCCTGGACATTACAGGAGTAGGAAAGATCATTCTCCACTGCACACATAATCCTCATCTAATTGAATGAAAGACTGACAGACTTTCTAAATACACAAGTAATACTGAAAACATAAATCAAGAGATTTTTCCCCACCCAAGTAGCATCACATAGGTTACTCACAATATGGGATGTGTGTGTAAATGAGAACACAAATTAATCAAGATATGTGTATTCTGTCTCTAGTAGAGATGCTCTGAGTGCTTCCTCTTGAACTAAGTGATTTTATAGTTAAAAATCTCTCAAGAAATGATGTTAGGAGGGTTCAAATACTCCCACAAAAAACTTGGAAATAAGTTATAAAGTCAGTATTTTCACCATACAACCTTTAATCACAGAGAACTAGCCTGTGAAGTGTGACCAGCCCTCATTCAGCCTATGGTCTCATGGGACACGGTGCATGGATGTACCAGCTCCACCTGCCCACCGTGAGCTCCCACCTCATTCACCTTGTGCCGCACAGGGACTGATCGCGGACCTCTGACACCTGCACTGACACACCGAGGCGGCATAAAACATACCACCTAACATCACCTCCCCTTCCCATATCCAGAAATGGATAGCTTGTTCTACACAAGGGAGCAAAGATATTTGAGAAAGTGCCACAGCTGGAAAAGGGAGGCAGCAGAACTGCACAGTTGTCAGCGAAGCCAGTGGAAGTCAGAAACCACAGTTCGCAACAAGCCTGCAATAACCTCTGCTGAACATGAAGCTGAAAGCCCAGGATAGCATCTACACACAAAACATGCCCAGGACTAGGTTAAGACACGAGGGTTTTGGCTAAAAAACAAAACAAAGGCCCCCTGCACCACCGCCCTCCCCCCCGCCCAAATCCCACAAAACCCCCTCCCACACTAACTGGAGTTTTCTCACCTTAATCACATTAACTAAATTGTTTTCTGGTAGACTGGAGAAGGCAGGAGTGGCAGAGGTTAGGTCTCCTTTTGGCTGTTGTTTACTCAATGTTTCTTGCATCTGACTTCTATTAAGAAACACACTAATCTGAGCAATAAATCAACAATTTAAAAGCCCACAAAAGCTTATTTGCATCAAACTGAAAAAAAAAACCCCAAAACCCCTGCATGTCTCAAAATGCCTTCAAATCAAAACAGTCCTCAGTTACAGAAGTTATACAGCACACATATCTATCTCAACTTGTAACCAATTACTCACAATTCTGCCCAGCTATTTAGGCAACAATTCTTGTAAACCTCCATTAGGAAGGTGCAGGACAAAGGACAATGCTCTGGTTTGCTGAATCCTTACCTGGCAGGCATTGTTTGAAGTTCTGGCTTATTTACTCTTATTCAGACCTGAGCTGAGAATTTAAAGAAGAGTATGGCTTGATGGAAGTGGGGGGAAATAAAGGAGAACCTTCTGATTCTACACTCTAAGCACAAGGCTTGCTTTCACAGGATCTAAGCAATAAATGTCAAAAGGAAAACACTTACAAAATATCACACTCGTTAAAGTTGGGCTGAAGATGCTGCAATGGAAAGAGAGATCTAAACGCAACACCCATATTGACACAAACAGCTGACACATCAGCTAGTGAAGGAATCCATGGTTTAGACTGTTCATCACTGATGGAAGCTATAAGTAAAAGACATGGAATGGATTAGTTTTAAATTTACTTCTTAGCATTAGTTCCTTTAAAGGGAAACAAATAAACTCAGCAGTCTGCATGAATTCTACCAGCTCTCATCTCAAAAGAGCTGGTGCATTGAATGATATGCTTATTTTCAGAACGAGACGGAGGGGGGAAGCAGTCTAACACACTGTTTTACGCTACAGAAACATCCTGCCTACGTAACAGGTGAATTACTTTAAAGTTCCACTCATTTTCCCTCACAGCTCTCTTTCATCACAAACAGCAGAATAAGCAAGGAGGCAATATTTACTTTTAAGAGAATACATAAATTACCATTCTGTGTAGGTACAGGTAAGAGGGTGTTATCATGGTAGGACTGAAAGTAGACCTAAATAAGATATGAAAACAAGAAAGGTTTCTAGAACAGAAGTACTAAACAGATGGAATTCACTTATTTGATAGAAATAAGAACCAATGTTCATTGCAAAAAGGGCTGATTTGTATGATGACTTGTATCTGAAAGCCTGCAAACTGTACAGGGGATTCTCTATAGGACACTAAACTAGCAAGGTAACATCAAACTAGACACAATGTTTTCCAAACAATGACAGAAGTCACTAGAATTCTGAATTGCATCAATTTTGTGTCTTAGCTCTCAATTTGTAAGGAAAAAACCAAATATAATGGAACATAACACTCAAGACACTGCAGGTTCAGATCTCAATGTTCGATTCAGTAAAAAAAAAAAAAACCACCAAAACCAAAAAACAAACCCCAAACTAAAACCCCACAACAAAAAAGATGCATCCTTAGTTAAGCACTGGAACAGAATGTCTCAGAATGGTTTAGAGAGTCCACAGTTGGCAATTTTGAAGTGGTTAGACAACTTTCCAGGAGCAACTCTAGCCTATTTGATCCAGCTCTGAGGTCAGAGATGTACTGGGATCTCTCCCAGCCTTAATTCTTTGAATGCTCATTCATCAACTTGAACTGTTCATTCAGAATCGAGCTTAATGCCAGCAAAGCACAAATAAAGTAGGCTACATTCCCTTTCATATCAGCTCACAGTCTGATTTCAAACAAGATTCAAAATGTGGGGTACAATTTGGACAGACCTGAGCAAGTACTTCAAGAGAACCACATTACTTTAATGATGTTAACGGGCAGGCTTAAATGAATTAGTGACTTTTGATGGATCTGAATAAAGTGAAGACGTGGAGAACACACAAAGGAACTTGTACTGGAGAAGTATTTGAGAGTACCGATGAAGGAAGGCAAAACACACAAGACACGAGCAGCAGTGTGGGCTGAAGCAGATCCTTGAAAGTGTTTTTGTGCAGGTGTATGATTCTTTTCACTTTTGCCATTTATCTGGAAAGTAAGCTACACAGTGCTACATACTGGGTATGACTGTGAAAAACATCTTGTAGTCCTTAAGCTATGAAATGAATGTCTGCATCTTCCAAAGTAAAAGATGGAAAGGAAAGTAAACTTTTGAACAGACTGGGCTCCTCTTCAGGTCAATTCTATTTGTGAAATAAGAGTTTAAAAGGCTCTGTACCAGATGCTCTGCTTTGCAAACACATGCCAGGACCACATCCTGTGGTACAGCTTGCACACAGTCAGTGAAGACCAACTCCTAGCATTTGTGCATTACGTAAGTGACAGAAGAGCCTAAGTTCATGCCAGAATCACAGAACAGAGCCAGCGCCTTTTACTTCCTCCCCAATACTTTTCCATACTTAACAGAAGGGAAATGCCTTCATTTATATGGTCAGCTTCCCAGCCTTCAAATACTCACCATTTTTTAGTGTTATCTCCATCAGTCTGTCTAAAATCTGGGTGGAAACACAATAGTCAGGATGAACAGACATCATCTGTGGAGAGAAAAGCAGCTACATGTCAAACACCAATGATGCATGATGGCATCAGTTTTCTTTTAATTAAAAAAAATAAACCAACTTTTTGGTAAAATAAAGTAACAGTAACAGGGAAAAAAAACCCCAAAGCCTCTAAAGCAAGATACACAAAGGAGAACAGAATATTGTGAATATTGATTATTCCAAGCAGTGTACAGAGGCCATGAATAGTTTAAAATTAATTATTTGCAATATCAGAATGCTGCAACCCCATGTTGAATCTGTTGGTTCATAAGAAGGTACTGAGGGTTAAGAGAATGGAAAGTAGCACGCATCCCTTTGGAACTCATTTGCATCTGCGAGCAAACTGAATGCCTTGATCAGGAGTGTGGGCAACCGAGTTTTAACTACAACCTTTTCCAGTCATGGGCAAGTTGAACATATGCAATACTAAACCAAAACAATGAATTCTTAGTTTTTCGTAGAACTCTTAACTACAAAAACATGACTATGAAGTACAGTTCACGTTTCCTGGAGCACTTCACTAGCCCAGCACAAACTCTTCTTTTTCTCCCCCAAGTGCTGAACATTTTCCTGCTCTGTAAGTGAGCTGAATTGCCTCTCAGTTCCTCCTTATTAGAGGAACACCAGGGCTCACAGAAGGGGTGGAAGGCAATTTTTTACAGGCTGGAAGGAAGGACATGGAGAAGCGAAATGTTTCCCTTTTGGCAAAAGCAGAAAGCCAGTCAACAGACCCAGGCTGCAATTTCACAGGCAGTCCAGCTTTCTTTTTTGTTTCAGGCACAGTTAGAATGTGGTAAATAATAGTAGAATAGAGATTGGAGCAGGACATTTTTGTGAGTAACAGAACAATGTAAATTTCTGGGGATTTAGACATGGACACAGACATCTAGAAAGCAGACAGCTGCCACACTTCCTTTAAGAATGGCTCCAAACTTTTTCCTGAGCCATAGTTCACATCAACCTTTTCCAAATGAAAATTATCTGATAATGCAGGTATCTCTGATGATTTACAAAGTGATATATGTAGAAATGGTACTTTTGCATACTGCAGCACGTTTGGGGTTTCTTTTGTTGTTGTTTTTTAAGGGTGGAAGGATATAACATGAACATTTGCTTGTGCTTTGGCGCACACTATTATATCCTGAAATCTCTTCTTACCTAGCATGTACTGTGCCCTTTTCAAATGCAGTAACACATACGAAGATGGACACAGATGTGCAGCTTTGCAGGCGCTCAGAAAACGTGGAGAAAAGTTATCCCTAGTGGTTTAACCCTAGTGACAATCACACTATTTCAGATTGGAGAACAAATCAGAACCCAGAAAGAAAGATTTTTTGATTTAGCAGTTGTTAACTTAATGCAACAGATTCACAAACTTGTTCTGATTATTCCTGCTACCACTGGCTTCCAGGAAGAACACTGTACCTGGACAGAGCATAACTGCATCAATAGTATAGTCTTACCTGGAAAAGCCACTTTAGAATTGGTATGGGACACAAGATACAGCTGTAAGCAGAACTTAGAAAACCATTAACAGCTAAAGAAAGCTGCTGTGTTACATCAGAACTGTAAGACAAAGATAGGGGTCGGGGAAAAGGAGAAAAATCAATTAGTGGTTGAATCAGCACTTTCACAAAAGCGTAAGAACATCCCCACCCTTCAGATCATCATCAACAGCAAACAAAGATCTGAATATCCAAAACGGGTGCTATTCTTATGCTCTTACCTACATGAAATCCTTTAGTAGTTAAACCTTATTTGTTATTTAGAACAACTCCCTTTTTCTTCAGAATGCCATACTATAAAATTTGGAAACATTTGTATTATTAGAGAATAATAGCTTCAAGCAAACACAGATTTACACTATTGTACTATGAACCATTATGCCTGCCTACACAGGCAGGCTGTTATGCTCAACGAGACCAGTGAATGAGATTTTTTTACCATCTAGTGACCTTTACCAACACTTTCAGAAGAAAAGAGAAAAAACTTTGTTTGAAATTTTAAAAATAATGTTTCAAATAAAGAGTCTGGAGGCAAACTAAAGCAATTAAAATCAAACAGTCTAATCTCTGTGCAAATTTGTGAGGTGCAAAAAGTAGCTGTTGGAAGAACAGAAAATACGTCATTTTTATTACTGAATTATTTTAGCTTTAGTCTTCTTTAGAAAGTCAGGTCTTTAGTCTCCTCTGTTCTCAGTATCTACTAAAACAGGTAGCTCTGTTGAGAGATCTGTGTCCTAGCTCATCCATATACCCTCTACCTGTCTGACTGAGCAAGTGGCTAGGAAGACATCCATGTGCCAACTGGACAGCCAGTACGTGCCAGATGTGCCAACTGGGCAGAATGTATAAGCAATTAAATCGTAACTGTCTTCTGCAAGGGATGATTTGTGTAATTCTCATTCCTCCAGTCACTGACTTACAAGATATTTTTGAAGCTTGTGATCTTCAAAACATATTAATACGAGGCCTGAAGCCAAAGGAGTGTATCACAAGTATCACTTCCTTAAGAGACAAGGAGAACCCACCCTCCTCCTCTTCACACCCACAACAGCACATCCTCATGTATACAACATCCTTTAAGATTAAATGAATTCTCTCAGTTTCACTGATGCAGGTTTAGAATAAAATGCCAACTGAAATAACCAGAATTCTTCAGGATTTGCACTTGTGGTATTAGGCAAGAATTTGTCCAGCTATTTGTAGCCTGACAGCCTCATAAATACAGAATACAAATCCCTATGATTTACTGAACAGTTGTGTATATACACAGAGACACACTGCTAGCTCAGTGACTGAATCTAACAGATGTCAGAAATCGTGACTTTCTGCAATCCTCATTAAGTGGAGCCCTAAGTCCCAAGCCCATTCAGGACAGAAAAAAAAAACCCAAACCACAAAAGTCTTTGTGCAGACATAATGCAACATTAGTAAGTCACAAATCAGTTCACCACAAAGGTCCTCTTTCTGTCTTGGGAGAGTTAAGCTTTTCTTCATTGTAACGTTTCACTTCTGCATTTAACTTCCACAAACTGGTCAGGTTATCAATGATAGCCCAGCACAGTAGAAATGCAAAAGAGTGCAGAACACCTATTTTTTTTCTTATGTCTCATTTAAGATGTTTTTTTCAAGAATTCCAGTGGAGAAAAGAAGGAAGCTTCAAGTAACAATTCACTATTCTGTAAAGCTAACCTGGAAAGGAGAATTCCAGGGAAAGGGAGTCAGTCTTGCCTACTTAGTAAGACCGAGCTTATTTGCATGCAAAGATATTCCTTTATCTTAAAAACTGCTAACACTGAAGAAAATCATACAAGTAAACACAACAGAGTGAAGAGGGTATTCTTACTTAAGAAGGAGCTTTTCTATAGGATTTTGAGGGACGAAATGAAAATTCCTCAAGTCAAGGTTATGTTGATTGAAGATTTTCCCAGAGGCTGATAAATCAAATATATCTTCTCCAGGGTGGTAGTCAGGTATGGCATGAGCTATTATTGAAAATCTCTTTATAAATGCCCTGTAAAATTCAAAATAGCTTTTATGAATTTAAACATTGAGGCTATTTTCTGGTTGAGACAGTTATTTTCAGATGAACATATCAGTCTTATGTAAAAGCTGAACTGTTAAAATACAGTAATGTTCAAGAAAATCCACCCAACCCTGAAAGACGATAAAAATGGTTCACATTAAACATATCAACAACAACTGATGGAAAGAGAGAGATTAGAAAAAAAAGGCTAGAAAAGTGAAGAACTAGATTTAATTGGGTTTCAAGTTAGAAAGACCTCTGCTCTTCTGAGAGATCTTCATATCCACTGGCATAGTCCTCAGCTTCTCCATCTGAAGAATCAGTCTCCCTTCCTTGTATGTCTTCCTGTAACCGCTTTTCTAGTTCATCTACCCTGAAATAACAGTAGCAGCAAAACATAGCATCACCATTTAGTAGTTACAACGGAAGACAACAAAATTTAAGTTCTGAATGTGAACCCAGGAGCCAGTAGCCAATTATGCACAGCAAATGCATGTGAGACATCGCATCTGTGCAAAAAACAAGTATCTTGCTATTCCAAGTTAGAAGGTGAATGTTTCCCAAAGCCTAATGAATTTCCAACAGCACAATCAATCACTGGTTTGTCAGAGATGAATATACTCAACCAACTTCAGACAGAATTTTTTGTAATTGCACAAAACTTTCAGTCTTCAGGATGATTTTTTTTTCAATCTTTTTTTTAAACGTCATACTAGTATTTTATGTGATAAATAGTATTAGTTATAGGACTATTCACTACTCCACAGTCAGTCAGCCCATAGTTACTAGGGTCAGATTCTTTAATAAAAACAGTTAATCACACAGACATAGCCATCACCACCACTTGCCATTAGTACATACACCACATTACACTTTCTACCCAAAAGATCTCTTGCAAGAACACGCATTAGTTCTGTTCACTGAACTGTGTAACTACTGAGATACCAATAGTCTACACAACTCTGGAAACCAAAACTAAGCTACAAATGCCTTTGAAGAAACTAGTACAGCCAGTCTACATAAATATTTCTATTTCATGCCTGACCAGCAGCTGGAAGCTGGCTCAGTGACCTACAACGAAGACGTTGGTAAATTTAGTCTGGCTCTTGAGGAGTAGCCAGATGTATCACAAATCACTCATTATTGCTTGGAAGGAGCCTGTCATTCAGCTTTTACAGTTAAGCCGCACCTGTAGGTCCCATCAGATGTATGCTGGTGGCACCAGCAGGCACAGCTTAGCTTGCTGCTACCCAAACTCCATCATTTTTGGGGAGACAAGGTAAATCTAAGCTTCTGCACCTCCATCCCAAATTTTTCAAAGCAGCTTTAAGAAACAAACCTTTTAGATTCCTCTTTTTCCTTCAAGAGGTGTTCTAAGCTGTTCACATATGACACCTGGCTAACGACAGGAGGCTTAGAAAGCTGTAAATGAAATAGTAAGAAATTTTAAAAAAAATTACCACAAGCTATCAATTCATTCAGTTAGACAATAAACATAATCAAAATAGAAACCTCTTCCAATTTTAATGATATTTTACCTGAAGATAAAAACTCAAAGGAGACCCTGAAAAACAGGACAATTAACAGTTTATGTTTCTCAGTCCCTTGACAATTTTATATAATGGTCAAATCTCTCTCAGTGATTAATTTAGAAATAACTGTGCTTCGCAATGGATCTGAACATGAAAGCAAGTCTCTGCATCTCAGCTTAGTGCTGACCTCCAGCTAACCTTCACAAAGAGCATTAGCATCAGAAGCCTTTTACCTCACAGCCTTATTGTTATCATCCACTGAGACCCTTGGAATCCCCATTCTCATGCATGAGACAAGAAACTCCAAAAATTATTCTGTACCTGTTACTTTCAGGAGTCCCTAGAGGGCAAAGCACCAGTGTTTGCTAAATCACCTCCAAAATCATCAGACAAAACAAAACTTCCAATCAAAATCTAATAGAAACCGAAATTATGAAGCTAATAAATAGAATTAAAAAATAAAACAAAACAATGCACAAGGAAAGCCTTAACCCCTAGCAAAATTAGTTTGGTTTTCCAGTAGTGAGTGTTTTATTCAGCTAGTAGCAGACAACACAGATTTGAAATCTTTTATGGCCACGATTCAGTTCTTTTGACAAGCAGTGCCTTTCTGAAACCACCTTCTTAAATTGCAAGCCACTTACTAGTGACAAAGCTTCTTTCTATGAGCTCCTTCCTTTTAGGAGAACACAATTCTATAAGAGCATACCCTCTCATTGGGGATTTTCTATTACCCAGAGGTAAAAGAAGTTAGTTTAAGAAGTTAGTGTCCACCTGCTAATAAAAAAGCCAGTAAATACAGCATTAATTTTTGGTATTCAGAAACATCTTTCAAATGTAACAAGCAGCATGTCTTTGTGTGAGAAATCTTGTGGGAAAGCTGAAGACCTCTTACCTTATTTTATATCTGGTTAATATGCCTAAAATGACTTTTGACTGAGGAATCAAGATTTCATTCCAATATGCACACATGCCCCTTCTTACAAGGCAAAAGAAGAATGCTAGTACATGCGAAAAACATGGTCATGGAAATTTTGGGACAGTTCTTAACTGTTTTGTCTTACTTGGCCATTAATTATGCAGAAGCAGGATAGGCCAAATGTTGTGGTCATGTTCATGTTCCACAAACATTTGATCTAGGTTGCATCTGTTTATCAGTCTTAACCGTTAATTACATAGACATGTTTGTTAAGATTGTGGAATACATATGTAACCACAAAAGTCTGATCTATAATGTGCTTGCATAATTAATGGCTAAGGAGAGAGAAAATAATTATGGCTGTTCAACATGTGCCTACAGAGGTACTCTTTAAGAGAAATTCAGTTAACGAATAAACCATTTCAGAGATTTAAAAACAGGAGGAGACAAGTACCAGAGTATTTATACAGGTATTCTGCTAACAGCAGGCTTGTTTTCTACTGTAGAAAATAGCATTGGGTTGACCCCAGCCAGCAGCTAGACACCACACAGCTTGTTCATTTCCCCGTCCAGCGGTGCAAGGGAATGAGTAAGAAGAGCACAAGTGAGAAAACTCATGGGTCGAGGCAAAGAACAGTTTAATAAGTGAAGGAAGGGGGCATGAGGGGGAGAAGAGAGAGTGATGCAAAGGCAATCCCTCAGCACCTCCCACAAGCAGAAGAATGCCCAGCTAGACTCTGAGGAATGGCTACATGCCAGACCAGCTCCCCCTGCTTGGTTTTTATTGCTGAACACACTATGTGGCATGGAGTATCTCCCTTTGGTCATCTGGGGCCAGCTGTCCAGGCCACACAAAGTCCTACTGCAGGATCTTCCTAATTAAACCATTATTTTACAATAATACTTCAAAATCACAACTTGACAGACTGTTGTTGAACAAAGAGGCTAACTTTAAAAAACACAGATCAGTTCACCGTAATATCCTATGAACTGGTGTCCTGGTTTGGGCTGGGATAGAGTTAATTTTCTTCCTAGTAGCAGGCACAGTGCTGTGTTTTGGATTTAGTAGGAGAAGAATGTTGATAACACGCTGATGGTTTAGTTGTTGCTGAGTACTGCTTATGCTAGTCAAGGACTTTTCAGCTTCCCATGCTCTGCCAGGTGCACAAGAAACTGGGAGGGGGCACAGCCAGAATAGTTGATCCAAACTGACCAAAGGGCTATTCCACACGAGATGACGTCAGGCGCAGTATGGAAACTGGGGGGGGGTTGGCCGGGGAGCAGCGATCGCTGCTCGGGAACTGTCTGGGTATCGGTCGGGGGGTAGTGAGCAATTGCATTGTGCATCACTTGCTTTGTATATTATTATTATTATTATCATCATTATTGTGTTGTTATTATTATCATTACTATTTTACTTTATTTCAATTATTAAACTGTCCTTATCTCAACCCAGGAGTGTTTCTCACTCTTACTCCTCCGATTCTCTCCCCATCCCATCGGGGTAGGGGGAGTGAGCGAGCGGCTGCGTGGTGCTGAGTTGCTGGCTGGGGCTGAACCACGACAACTGGGATTCAAACACTTCTTCACCCATCTCTTCTGAGAAGTCCTTCATCTCTTGGGAAGCCTTTCTATAATAATTCCAATTTCCATGAAATTCAGCCTCAAAGAAAACATCACCCTTACAGATCAGGAACTCATACGCAGATTTCTGGCAATCCAGACTGTGACAAGAATATACGACTCAAGTCTAGCACACAGATCTCTCAACGGATAGATCAATTTCCTCTAGCTAACTTCAATTCATAAAAATCTTACCTGATCAGGAAAATTAAAACATTAGATCCCACACATCTTCTAAATGTAACCTCCTACCTTTTTCTTTAGTGGGAAAAAGCAAAACCAGAACTCCTAAAAGCCACCGAAAGACATACAGCTAATGCAATCTGGCTGCACAGACCATCTTTCACCCATTCCAAGAGCAAGCATAGTAACAAGCACCCTTTCTGTAACTACATTGCACTGTACAGCACAGAACTCTTAAGTAAGCTGAGTAACCAGTTTTGCAGACAAATAACTCTGCGTTTTCATGCATTATGAGTAAAGGAAAAAAATCATACCAAAAATACAATATAACAAAGCTGATGCAATGCTTTTTGGGGGTTTTTTAGCCACTTACATGAAGCTTCAGTAATGGAGTCATGGTGTCCTGAGACAAACTGTCAAGACAAGATTCATCCAGGGTTCCTGCCTGTGGTTTGGTACTTGAAGACAGAATTTCTTGCAGTGGCGTGAATACTACTTCTTCTTCTTCTTCATCATCATCTAGACTGCATTCCAAACTCTCATCTTCACTATCAAAGCTGCTTTTTGCTTTTCCATTCAGCTTGGACTTGTCTGTACAGGTGCTTTCAACCTTTAACTCGCCTGAGAGTTCTGAAGACATAGAGGTGCTGTCCATGCACCCTTCTTTAAGAGACAATGAACGGGGAACACTTTCACCCATCTCTTCTGAGAGTGCAGGTTTCCCAGAACCTTCCACTGAACAAGAATGAGAAGCATTTTCTGAAGTCTTGTCTTTTGTTTTTGAAAAAATGTTGCTGGAATGAATACCGTAAGCTTTATTGTGTGCACATCCTCCTGGTCTTTTCCCACCTTGCTCCTTCTTAGCATCCAATACCTGAGATAAGCCAGCATTCCGGAGATGAGATTCCACACCTTTTCTTTGTGTTAGGTGGTGGAGAGAAGGTAACACAGTACTTTTTTCCTGAGAAAAAGGAAGGGACTTTTCCAAGAAAAAGTGTGAGTTAGCCACCTGCAATCGATTCTCTTTGGTATCCACAACAGAAGTGGGGTTATTTTTACCAGGACTGTGCGCAGAATACAAAGATGACAAGGCTAGAGAGGAGCACTTATTTTTCTCATTTTCATCGCTTGAGTTGAGATACTCCTCTGGAAGAGTAGAATCATGTCTAGGTAGAGCAGCAGCCTCCATTAGCTGCAGAACATCACCACAAGTAGACTTTAAAAGGATATTTCTTACAAAGTCAGACCTCCTATTTTTGCATTTTGCAGATGACCTACTAAAAGCAGGGTCATTCAAACTTGATAATTCAGATTGATTAGAACTGTCTGCATCCACACTCATGGCAGTGCGTTTTCTTTTCCCAGGAAGGTCTATTTGTTTGGATTGCCCAGAAGATGTCTTAAATCCAAGGCAGTGTGAATGAACAGACTGGCTCTTCCGCACACCAGCAGCCATCTCGGATGACGTTCTGAGTGCATTTGGAGAAGATGCCTCAGGTTTTGAAACCTGCTTTGGCTTTGGTTGAGATGGGTCATCTATAAAGTGTTTAAGAAAAAAAATAAACCACTGTTGTCATGTTTAAAAAAAAAAAATCAAACCCATAACAGCTTACCCTTTAAAAAACTAACTTCTATTTTTAAGTCAACTATGACTGAAATTTTTATCAGAAACTACCATACTTCCTTTCTCCTTGAACACAGTGGATCAACATTAAGATTTAGCTGATACTGTACTGTTACACTGTTATTCTAACTAACTTGGAAATGAAATGAAATCCTTTTATTTTAAAGCAGCTCAGTAGCCACCGTAGAACACTTTCTATACACTAGAATCAATCAGTCTTTGGAAACAGACAATAGCCCAGTTGAGGTATGGGACTGGAAGAAAGCTTCTGTAATTACGTATAATGGCTATAAATAATGAGCATTATGAAAAGTATTTTGGAAATACTGCAATAATTTTAACAGTGCTCATGAAAAAGCATTCAGAATATGAAGAAATCTGTTTTCAGGCTATGGTTCTATGGCACCAGAATCCACCTTCCTCACAGCACTTTTCTGCTTAAGCTGGCACCAGCACCTGGACACTTCATGGCAAGCTACTTCATGGAGCTGATGTGGCTGAGAACTTCCCAACTCAATCTTCAGCCAGACCAGCTCCTCGTACCGCTGGCCAAGTCCCAGTGCTAGCATAGGCAGAAAGTGAAGCATAGTGGCAGAGACTCTGATAGGTTTACACAGCCACAGACCCACAACATGGGAATATTCTCCTTGGTTTGGGTAGCCCTCCCCTCTTCTTTTTTTTAAATCATCCTACTGACCTAGCTCAAGCCTCTATTCACGTGAGCTTTTTATATTCAGTTCTACCAACTGTAGAACAAAATTATGTGGTTAAAAGGGACAAAAAGCAACAAGAATACTAGCTAAACTTTAGTGTTCGGTTCAATGAGAATGTTCTTTTTGGATTAAGCTGAAAGACAGAATTTGTTAACCACCACAGTGAATGTGGGTTTTCCAAAATGCAAGACAAACCATAAAAATAATCAGGGATTAAGGGCTTCAGAAAAAGAAATAGCATGACTTCTAATTAAGTTACAAACAATCTGTTTTTCACTAAAATCTCCAATTACTTTTAAACCTCTTCAACCTTGCCATATATTAGAAATAACCTTGACTATACAGCAGCAATTCTTTTTTTGAGAGAGAAAACAGAAAAACATAACTTCAAGGAAAAAAAGCCATAAAAAAGAGACACTAAGTGACAAACCTGATTGTTTAATTAATTCTGTATTATCAGCACTGCTTCTACCTGAGGCAGTCTCCCTTGAACCAGAATGTGGTATTTTTCTTAAAGAACACCCATTTCCCTAAAAATAAAGATGGAGAAAATAAAAAAGTTAACCGCATACTTTTTAAAACCAGGATGTTGACGTCTTGAGCCAAGTGTTGAATCCAGCACAGACTTAGTTCCACACACCCCCAGAAATATGGTAATATACTTCAAGACAAACTTACAACACAGCTGCAAAGATCTCAACAAAAGGACTCTCCGTAACCCAGATTTTCTATCTTGTCTTCAGACTGGCCTCTGGTTCTAAATCTCTCCACTTTTAGGGCCATTAGCCTCTTGCGCCCCTGTTGCCCCCTATGGCAACATAGCCCAGCTGGCTTTTCTCAAACAAGTCATTAGGAACTTAAAAGACAGAAAGCACAGACAAGCAAATACAGAGGCAGGGGTGCTAAGGAGTAAAGGAAACACAAGCTAAGCAATCTTTTTGAGGCACACATAATGATCTTCCTTGCAACTACCAGCAACCTTTTAAAGGGTTTTCTTGGTTGGTAAAAAAGTGAACATAATTCAACCTGTAATGAAATACTACATACTTAACAGGACCGCTCCCACCTCTAATCTAATCTGAGCTGCTATTAACTGCAACTTCTTACTAGCTGAAAGTTGCCAGGCTGGTCCCTACACTACGTTGTAAGAAAACATAAAGTTATAAGACATTTAAGATAATAAAGACATTTTCTCTACAAAATACAATTTAAAGTTACAATTTCCATTGCATTTTCATGTTTGCGTCTAACCCAGAATATCTCCCCTGCTTTTAAATCAGGATTTCTCATTTATTGTAAAATAGTTAAGAATCATCTTACCCAAACATGACCCAAGATTTACAAAGGAATATCAGAAGAGCATAAACTTTTGTTACATCTGAAAAAGGCAGCACCAAGAATCTCATCCTACATTGTAAAAGAAAAAACAAAAAAACACCAACAAAAAACCCCATATGCACAATGGGTCACTAATTTCCACCTTTAACAACTCTTTGAAACACACCTGAAGTGATAGACCTGTTCCTGAGAATGGCCTTACAGGATGTGGCTTAGATTGCTTCATTCTGTGTTTCTTCTGCTTCCTTTCTCTGCAGAGAGCTTCCAGTGACAACCTAAATTCAGGGTCACTTGAAGTGCAGGCCAATTTCACGGGAAACCCTGGGTTTTGGCACAGAGATGTGGTGTTCGCAGTGCCATTACTTCTAGCACAGGCTTTTCGAGCATCGGCTTCTGATGATGAAACCCATTTGTCAGTCTCTGAACTAGCGTCTCCTAGATCCATACAGTCAGTTGTCTGTTCCCAACTATTTCCACAAGACAACGGTGCTCTTGTTACACCCAGACACTTCTCATTTCTTCCCTGTTCCAACTTGACAGTGTTATCCTTTTTGGCCAAGAAACGGCTGCAAGATGCTGCAGTAACAAGGAGTTTTTGAATCACAACTTTTGGGTACAATGAACCCAATCCCTTGCATGCTCTGCCATTCTCTAAAATGTGTACACTGTCCTTTTTCTCCTTAATTCCTCTCCGAAAGGCATCTATCACAGGACTTGTGTTTGGTGTTTGGTCTGGCATCTTTTTTCTCTTGACCTTCTTTGGAGAAGATATTTTCTTTTCAAAACATTCAGCACATAAAACTGACAGTCCGATTCCTGCATCTTTTACATTTCCTCTGTCTGGTGAGCACAACACAGTTCTGTCTTTATGGCCAAGGTCTAACAGAGAAAAGACCAGACAAATTATTCACAATCACAATACTGGGTGAAAAAAAAAGTCTTGTTGGACTGTATTACTTGATATTTTGTCTCTCACATGCATCCAAAACAAATTTACTTAATCATTTAGTTTTGCTAGTGACATGTGATTTATTTCATATAAAAGAACTCCATGATCCATATCACAGCTTCAGCTGTTATGAACAATCTAGCTTAAGCGTGAGCCAGTAACTTGAACTAATAATCACATCACTATTTAAAGAAACTAATTTTCATAGGAAATTAACATTTTCAGTTACATTATTAGAAAAAAATGTAAATGTGCTCATTTTTACATATTTGGTAAGCTATACTCCTTATATTGCTGCTCCAATTTGGAATGAGATTGGACTATACTTCTGCACACTTATAGAATTAAAACACATGTAAATATCTTCCATTTAAAAACCATTTATTTACCTTGGTTTAAAACCGGTTTGAAGAACTCTGTAATGGTCTGGTTTCTGAAGAGAAAACATAATCTTTTTAAAAGAACAATACCTGAATGCCCATACAGTGAATATTGATAAAATGAAAATGCTATAATTTATTTCCACAGATTTTTTTTAAATGCCAGCAGCTATTATTTCTGATAACTCTTTCTGATAGATCAGAGAAAGCATCATCATCCTCATCACCTTCTAGCCTTCACTCTGCTTGGCCAATGAAGCCAACCTGCCAGTTTCCTCACTCAAACTGTTTCTTTTATCATCCTAGTAAGTCTTACCCACCCTTCCAGCTTAAACTAAGCTTTCTTAAATGGGACTGACCTCACCTATATCCAATATTCCAGATAAGACCTCACCAGTACCTTATGTGACGGTGTTAACAACCTCCCCATCTCCCCTGTCAACACTTTGAGCTGATAACTCCCACTGTAATTTTTTTAAAATGTGGTATAGTGGTAAGCAGCTGGCCTTATCAATACCATCAGTGACTAAACCCTCTCCAATGCATGATTAGTTGCAATCAAGTCTAACCACAAAGTTCTATCTGCAAGTTGTAAAGTCCAACTAATCCTGTAACTTTCTTCCTGTTATCCAAAACCCTTTGTGCACCACTGTTTGTTGCTTTTTTCACACCGCTGGTGCCAGGCTGGAATGCAAATTCCTATCTGTACTATTACCAGACTTCTCAGCAGGAACTTGTACCAGCACTGCCCCTTAACAAAATACACGTGTCAGCGACAACCCTCCCAGCACACATTACATGCATCTTCTGGCTTCTAACAGAAACAGCAGTCTACAACCGTCTTATATTTACACATACACGACAACATTATTAATAGCTTTAAAATCAGAGGGATTTTCCCTGGCAAGAATAAGTAGGATGTGAGAACACCAAGGCATTTCTCCGTGACAGGATGACGCTTCTGAAAATGGGCAGATTGTCTGAGTAAAGTACAATTTGAACATGAAAATACATCAAGAACTATGAACTTGCTATCTTCAACCTCTCCCACTTAGCAAGTAAGTTTACTAACGACTTCAAGGCTATACTTAGGCCTGTTTTGGAAATTTTCTCAAGTTCCAACAAGATATTGGTGTGAGAAAGCAAGAATAATACAGACTTAAGACCTCCTTCCATCTTTTGTAATCTTCCTATGCCTTCCAAAACAAAGCTATATTGTTACTGTCTGTGTAACAGTGATTGCAAGGCAAAACTTATTTATTCCAGATTCTAAGCTAACGTATTCAAGCATCCATACATGACTGTGCTTCACAGACTCAATACAATTTTTGAAGTTCAGGCTGGAAGAAACCACTGCTCAGTTGTTCAGACTAAACTTGGATTTAATTTTCTATCTTTCCGTAAGCTTGTTACTTGCACTTCTGCGTTTTCTACATGGCTTCTGCATTTTTAGTACCTGCACAAATACAAAAAGCTGTTTATAATGCATTAATACTTCTTTAATCAGGCTACTGGCAAGCAGTGATGTTTGAGTATGCTGTAACTCAACAAAAAGCCACCTGTAATCAGAATCTGTGAGTGCATAAAACTGTCTTTTTGGCTTACCAAAGAGAGCAGAAAAACTACTTGTCAAAGACGACTTGCCTCCAACCTGTCCCAGCTTAATTTGATGTAGACCAAAATAAGCCCATTCTTCCCACATGCTGAAGCAACAGGGTCTCCAAATTTCAGTTCAACATAAGAATCAACAGGCTAAATTGCAGGTTTATTCGCTGTTATTGCTGTTGCTGACTGATTTGTCTTTCTGGCCTAGACCACCTCCCACGGCAAGGCTCTTTCCGCCTTGCATTCCTCAGGACACTCCCAGTACTCGCTTGTGACTGCTCTCGCAGCTGCAAAATCATCCCGTGCCCACAGCTTCCTGCACTGTGTATCTTTCCAAAACCCTTCTATTTTCCTAACTAAGCAACTGTACTTCTACCTTCCAGGTTAAAGCCCCATCTACCATACCAACCACTGTCAGCAGTCCAAGTCTCATCTTCAGTTACCTCTTCAGATACCTCTCTGCACTTGAATATTGAGGGCAAACCAAAACCAAAACCAAAACCAATGCCCTCTGCTATCTACTTCCTTCTTTCTGCAGCCACCGATTTTTAATCGCTGCTTATCTCCCTCCCACATCCACTACCTCGTTGTATCATTTTGCTGTCTTTTATTCTAAATGCAAGAGCTTTGTAACAACATTCTTGTTTGTTCCATAATTATACAAAGCTTTGTATAATACAACGGAGACAATGGAGGCACTGCCACCAAAAAAAAAGGCCTAAAGTTTAAGCTTGAATGAAGAGTGATTTGTCTTAGACTATTTTTTTTAAAGTGCTTACCCACAGGCATTTTCTACTTTGCATTCTACTGCTTTTTGGAAGAACAAGGGATAGGAACTGTCCAACTAAAACAGAATAATAATTTCTCAAGTGCTGTTCTGTATCTTAGACAAGGAAGTGTATTAGAAACTACGAACAAAACCAAGAGTGAAAAAAAGAAAGTATATGAAACAGTACAAGGACGAATGTGACAAAGTACTGGGCTTTCAAACCTGCTTGTATTAGGTTTCTATATTAGGTTTGTGTGGCAAGGTTTTGGTAGCGGGGGGGCTACAGGCGTGGCTTCTGGGAGAAGCTGCTAGGAGCTTCCCCTATGGCCGACAGAGCCAATGCCAGCCGGCTCCAAGACGTACCCACCGCTGGCCAAGGCTGAGCCCATCAGCAACAGTGGTAGCGCCTCTGGGAAAACATATTTAAGAAGGGGGGAAAAAACCCAACACAACACAAACAGCAGCTGGAGTGAGGAATGAGCATATGTGAGAGGAACAGCCGTGCAGACAGCAAGGTCAGTGAAGAAGGAGGGCAGGAGGTGCTCCAGGCGCCGGAGCAGAGATTCCCCTGCAGCCCCTGGTGCAGCCCCTGCCCAGGCAGCTGTGCCCTGCAGCCCATGGAGGCCCACGGGGGAGCAGAGATCCACCTGCAGCCCAGGGAGGACCCCACACCAGAGCAGGGGGATGTGCCCGAAGGAGACTGT